TCTCGTTACAATAAGCTCAAGCTCTAAACTCAAACTCACATTAAAATTACGTCACATTCAACTCAAACACGATCAAAAGGGCCAGTCAGCATTTGACTTGAGCTTTTAAGCTCCGCATCTGAAAATCTTATTTAAGCAATATTTAAAATAAGACAATTAGGGGGAATATGTTGCTTACATATTACACGGAATTTTGAACACGAAACCTTAAGCTCTTACGTTAATGTGCTTGACCTGAGAGCTTTAAAGCTCTTCTGCAATGCATATAAAACAACATACCAAAATCGTTTGTCCTATTGACCAGTTAATATGTTCCGATTCTCCAAAAATTAATCCTTACTTTCGTAAAAGCTTCCTTGAAAGCAAATACCACTCAGAGGCTAATATTAATGATTTAGCTCGAGTGAGCTTTTAAATTGTTTGCGCTCTCTTTTGGGCCATATTCGTAAACGTTTGCAATAGAATATGCTCTAAATGTGTTCTTGTGATATGCTTCAGTTTTTAATATAACCAAAACTTACATTATTACAACAAAAGTTATGGATATTACGTGTTAGCTGTCAGGCAGAGAATAGAGCTAAAAAGCTGAGCAAAAGCTCACACACACACACACACACATAAATATACTAACAAGGCTATTAAAGTTTAATGAAAATGAGACGCAGTGGGGAGGGAGGAGGAGCAGAAGGAGAAGGAGTAGAAGGAGCTCAACTATGACTCACAAGCAGTCAGAGAGCAAAATAGTTAGAGATAGTTATAGAGAGAGCGAGAGAGGAAGAGAGCGAGAGAGAGAGAGAGATGGATAGAAGCTGAAACATGGCAAGCTTTTGGGCGAGTGCGTGGAACGGCGCGTTGTGCGTGCAACTGCCATATCAATAACAAACTTAAGTGTAGCCAGGACAGGTGCATGTGTGTATGTGTGTTCGTGTGTGTGTGCGTGTGTGCGTGTGTGTGTGTGTGTGCGTGTGTGTGAGTATATAAACATCAACGCTAACTGACACGCCGCTAGGTGGCGCACAACGCTGCAGCCGGCAAAGTTGACAGGCACGCAATTGCGTGCCAAATGCTCCATTTCCCATCTTCCATCTTCCATCCTCCATCCTCCATCCTCCACTTGCCACTTGCCATTGGCCCCGGCTCCTCAGAATTTTGCAAATTGTTTGCACGTTTCTTGGCCTTAAGTTTTGCGCTGCGTAACTTTAAGCCGTCGACTTTTATAAACTTTGTTTGCCTTGCGCTAATTTTCGAGTAGGCTACCTTTTTTTTTGCCCAACTTTCAGAAAGTCTTCACTTCAAAAGTACCTACAGCTTCATTTGCTTAAAGCAATATTTCTCATAATAATATTCATCATCAAATCAGCACTTAAAGTTTCTCCAAGCTTTAACTTAAAGCCAGCAAAACTCCAACCAAAGGGCAAGGCTTTGCACTAAATATGTGAGTTTTGTTCAATTGTTCGAGATAAGAGATATTCAGATATATTGCTTCGATATTTATCGATTGCATGAGAAATGATATGAAAATCGATATCAATCGATAGCATGAGCTATACTTTTGAAAGTATCATAATCGAGATGCATCGATAGTATAGGAAAATGACAAAATTCCGGAAAAACATAACACGGGAATATATATTTAAAATGTCATGTCTGTAGCTTTTACGGGCAGGCAAATAGACAGACACGATTCGGGTCGTAATCCTGACAGAGAATATTTGGTACTTTACTTTTGTACTTGATCTTGATATAGTATTCGCCAATCATTAAAATCTCAAGGATTTGCTCAAAAAACAAGATTTCGATATTGATTTTTATCGATTGCTTGGTTATCGATTATCGGAAACAAACTCTTACTGCGCGGGCACTAGGACGTTTCAAGTCTCAAGCGCTTATAGGTTCTGTGATCGACGCGCACGAACGGACAGACGAATGGATATGGCTAGATCGACCCGACTATTGATTGTGATCATGAATCTATATCGTTTATGGGGTCGGAGATGCCCTTCTACTGCCTGTTATATGCATTTGCACATTTTTAAAGGGTTCGAAGTTTAAAAACGAATTTTCTGCTCTGCCAAACTGTTTTTAGGCCAACTTATATTCAGGTGAAACTCTCGCTTTTAATTGCCAAGCTGCGTTTGAGAGCGCACTCAAGATTCGTAAAATTTACTACTCATTTTCAAGCGTTGTTTTTACAGCGAAAATGGTGTTGCAAAGCGTTGCAATTGGAGTGTTGTCAAACACTTGACACTAAAAACTTCAAAATGCGTTTGGGCCAACCAAAAAGGAGCTCAAAGTTGTGTGTGTGTGTGTGGGGGTGTGCGTGGGTGTGCTTAAGTTGCCCACCCTGCAGTCAGCACTGCACAACACTACCGCCCCCCACCTCACCCCCCTCCCGCCCTTCAGCGTGCAGACGTTTTGAGGGTTGGTAAACGCGTTTTGCTCGAGGCGCAACGCAAATCCGTTTAAATTTATGGCGTGTCATTGTTTTGGCATAAAATTAAGTGAGTGCAGCGCACAAGGTGGGGATATTTTATATTCAGTGGAGGGGAGTGGGCGAGTGGAGGGGGGGGGGGGGGGGGTGCGTACTCTGCTGATGAACATGTGTAACTTGTGTGTAGCTGAACATGCAGAGACATGCATGCAAATGATTGCCGAGGACTGCAGCCCAAATGAGGGAAGGCAAACCAATGAAATTCAATAAGAAGCGCTGCCTACTTCAAGGGGCGTATGTAGAGGGGGGGGGGGGAGGGGGCTGGTGTTGGATAGGCGTCTGCACTCCCTAATGGCGAAAATATAATTCATAAAATTCATAAGCGCCCGCTTAATTTATGAAGAGCCCAACTCCCCAAAACAGCCAGAAATTATTTGCCGCCCCTCGCCCCACATTCAACCAATGCCAAAAGGATGGCCCCGAGCGGCGCTGTGTAATTTTAATTAATGCGTCCGTCGTTTAACATAAACGAAATGCGAATACGAAATGAAAATACTAATAAAAAAAAAAGCGAGAGAGATAGAGAGAGCGAGACAAAATGCGACGTTAAAAGACTTTCCCCCCCAACTTAGGAAAATGCTTAAGAAAAAAAAAATCGATGACAAAAAACTTTGTCAGAGACAATGCTTAAAAACTTGACAGTCTCTCATCTTACTTTTCATTCTTTTTAATATCCTACGAAAGGGTATTCAAAAGTTGTCACGAAATGTGCAACGCTTAGAAGGAGACACCTCCGAGTCCATAAACCATATATATTCTAGATCAGCAGCAATAGACTAGTTGATATAGCCAAGTGCAGCTGTCTGTCTGACTGTTTCTATGCCAACTAGGCTCTCATTTAAACAAAGCTATCTTGTCTTGAAACTAGGTCCAACTCTCCGTTGCAGGCAGTCTTATGTTGCAATCGGCCGGGTCGGAACACTATATCATATAGCTTTCATAGGAACGATCGCACGAAATAGAATGCTTTTGTGTTTACCAAGATATCTTGTCTTTGGCATTTATTAGTTTCAGTATGCTGCTCATATATAGAACATATCTTATATCATATCATAAATATATAATATATCATATATATACTATATCATATAGCTGGCATAGGAAACCTTCTTGTATGGCCAACTTTTTTGTTTAATCCAACATTTACATATCCAAATCCAACATTTACATATCTACTCAATATCTTATCAAGATCATATTACTATATTATATATCTTTATAGGAAGAATCGCTCGAAAAATGAGTTTTGGTATGACAGCATATTCTGTTTTCCGCATTATTTTCATCAAACTCAGCATTTACGAGCTTCACCAGGCTGACACAGTCAAAGCGTAAGGCGAATGTCTATAAGAGTATTGAAACTTCGGCGTGCCGAAGATATCTCAAGTTTCTTTTTGTATTTATGGGTCGTTTACCCATGAAAATGCAACAAAATTAGCGTAGAATGGGATAGACTGAGGAAGCTTTTGGCATACGGCGAGTATATGTATTAACTGCAGCAGTACAGGGTATCTGCGAGTCGAGCACACTGCTCAGCGCATTTGTACTTATTCTACTTAGCTGCAATTGTCGCCGACATCTTTAAGTTCTTTTTCTCCCAATCGTGGTAAATGGCATGTTTTGTGGCAGGGCAAAGGGTATGATGGTATATGGTATATGTTGTGGCTCGGCTTGTTATATATGTATGGATATGTTGTATGATTAATGCCCTCAACAATGGCCAAAAAGTTGCCAGAAAAAAAGTTGAGTGCGACAACTTTTTAGCTTGTTTTGATTTCGGGCAAAGCGTGCGGCGCGGGGCTTGGGGTGCAATTCGGATGGTTGTTTGCCAATTTTGTGGATTTTTGGTGTTTGCTTCAACTGCTTAACTGCATATTAATCAGCTTTACTTTTGCCTGACTCTGAAACTTTGCCAAACTCTGGGCCACAAGAACACCAAAGGGGCGTGGCTAGACAATGTGTTTTACGTCTGTTTGCAGCTGGCACAAACAAAAAATACTGTTAAATGTGGAGAGGACAGGTAAATGTGGCAGAAATTCAAAGGGAATTTTCGTAAAATATTGCAAAATAGTCGAAATATGTTTGATAAGATGATGGGGCAGAGTATCTTTAGGCAGCGTCTCCGATATCTTTCGTTCTATATTCGATTAATGCGATATTCTTGCGGGCGACGTCGAACTGAGGCGATCTAGCCTAGTTAGTCTGTCATTCGCATTCGTACAATATACACAGCTCGAAATTTTATTTGGTTTAGCTTCAATCCAACCAAATTTTTATGAAATCGATAAATATCGATGCTGAGGCTGGGTTTTTCAGGCATGTTATCGATAAATATCGCTTTTGAGTTTTGCTTGTTTCAGCACAACTTGAGAAATATTAAGGCTAGATACACAAAACTTGCTTTGTACGTGCTCGTTAAGTTTAAAAACATCAAAAATTATTTCACTTTTTGGAAATCTGCCGACAAAATTGAAAAAAATTGCATTCATTACAGCTAGAGCTTTGCGCTCTGGCATGTAAACATTCTTGTTAGCCTTTTTGAAGCTCTGAAAGTATCATGAAGATCGGACTATAAAGACCGAAGTTAATATAGAATGCTACGTTGGATTTGGGTTAACTCTCAGCAGTAGAATTTTATTTATATTATCGAAAATTTCTACCATATTTTATTGGCTTGCAAAAACAAATACAAATACAACTAATTTGTGTGCTGTCAAAGGTGTAAATTCGTGTGTGTGTGTGTGTGTTGAGTGCTCAGATCGTGTGTCCAATTGGGTTCTAGTAGTGTCTGCGCTGGCGATAGCCGGGCGGCAGATAGCGGGACGAAGGCGCTTGCACATTGCCAGCGGAGCCATGGTAGGCGCCGCCCTGATAGCCGCCAGCCGAGCCGCCGGCTCCGCTGCGCTGCTGATGGTGCCTGCAAGAAGAAGAAGAAGAAGAAGAAGGGAAGATCAATCGGATGCCTTACATGTTAGAAGCAATCGGCACTTACTCAGCGGGCAGCGATGGTGAGGTGGGCAGGTGTGCGCCCTCGGCATGGAATCCGTTCTTGTCGGCCTTGTAATTGACCGTATACTGTTGGCCATCGTCGCCCGTGTAGGAGTAGGAGCCGCGCACGCCGAGGGAACCGTGTGGCCAGCCGCCCTTGAATTCGCCCGTCTCATCGCGATGGATGCCGTTGCCCGTATCAAAGCTGCAAAGATTGGCAGTTGGTTTTTGTTTTGTTTTTTTTTTTTCTCATTATAAAGAAGAACACTTCAATCATTTTATTATTTTCCATTTTCTAGATCAGCTGAGGGGCTGCTGTATTAATATTTTTAGCGGGGATTTTAGTGTATTCCCTTGAAATCGCTATATTAAATACTGGGAATGATTGAAAAAGTTGTACAGTTGGCTCAGTTGAAGTTCTTCTCTAATGGCTTAAGTTCCTTCTTGACGTTCAACGAGAAATACTGGGAACAGCTATTGTTAGACATTGTATGATCAGAAGCAATACTGGGAGCAAAGATAACTAGGAATATGGCAGCCTGACGGATCATAATAAATTAATTGGAACAGTGACCTTACTGGGAACAGTTAAGGAAACTAAAAAAGACTTAAACAAACACTGCATCAAAATAATGGGGACAGAATCAATTGAAACAGAGGCATCACCGGAAACAATTAAGTAATACTTGCGGTCAAGCAAACACTTTAACAAGAGAAACAATCGGAACAGACGTTTTACTGGGAACAGTTAGGGAAAATAAAGAATTATTCATTAATCGTAGCAAGAAAACGCCTGAGAAGGGATGCTTCACTGTGTTTCACTGGGAACAGTTAAGAAAACTTAAGGTGCGGAAGGTATAGAGTTTTTGCTGCGAAAAGTTAGGGAAACTAATGAAGAAATTATAAATGTGGATGTAGCTGAGGAATCGGAAGGAGCAAACATGGCAACAATACGCCTGAGAACAGATTTCACTGGGAACAGTTTGCAAATTAAATACAAGATCTTTGAATTACCCAAAGTTATAATTGCCGCTGGCATCGCTCTGATAATCGCTGCGCACAATCGGTATCTGCGCCTGACGCTGTCCACCATGTCCGCCATGTCCGCCATGTCCGCCAGCTCCGGCAAAGCCACCACTGCTGCTACCCACTCCGACGCCCACTCCTCCAGCTACTCCGCCTCCGCCGCCGCCACCGAGACGACCATGAGAGTGGCCGCTAACGCCGTGATAGTGCAGCTGGCTGGCCTGCGGTGCCGGATATTGATTGGCGGGCAAATAGCGTTGCGGCGGGCGACCAGCTGCGGCGCTGGCCAGAAACGCGCAGGCAACAAGGACAATGGGCTGCAACATCTTGTGGCACTTGCAACACGCACTCGAAAACTTCACTCAACCCAAAAAAAAAAGCAAAAGCACAAGAACAAAAAAATTGATGTCGCAGCACTGTTTATATATATCCTTATATATATATATATATATATATATATATATATATATATATATTTGTATCCTTGCAGCTTTGTATCTTTGTATCTTGTTAGTTTTGTATCTTTGTATCTTTTGGTGCTATTCTCTCGACTTAAACGCTTGAGCGCCGACTGCTTGCGGTTTCGCTGCGGCGCTTTGCTTTTTATAGTCTCGCGCAGCGCTCGAAATTTTGTTTTAATTGTTTTTTGTTCAACAGACTTCTGCTGCTTCTTCTGCGTTCTTTAAAGACCGTTTTTTTTGTTTTTTTTTTTTTCTGCTGGCCTCTTGCCGTGTCTTTCAATTAGCCAAAACGCTGTCGAGGCGGCGGCTACATGCACCAAAACACTTTGCAATTTTACATTTATTTGATTTTTTTCTCGATTTTTTTGCTGTTGCTCAAATTTGATTTTAGTTGCGGTTTAATCTCTTCTTTTTTTTTCCTCCCTCATTTAATTAATGCCAAAATATGAGCTTGGGCCTGGGCCCCTAGATAGCTGGGCGTGTATTTGTGTGTGGGCGTAGCAGCTATTTGGTGGGTTAGGAGGAGTAGGGGGGGGGGGGGAGGGGGCACTTGGCCAAAATACGCGACGGCTTAACTAATTATAGCATCGCGCAGCAGCTCATGTGCCATCATTAGCGAAACACACACACACACACAACATATACCTTTGAAAGGCTTTGGAGTATGTTTCTTTTTCTTTTTTTTTTGGAGCTTTTTGGAGTTCCGGCTCGCCTCGCGCTTTCGAGTGGCTCGAACAATAACAAAAAGTGCCCTCACTCGAGGGCCATTACAATATGGCAACCGAAAGACGCGGCTCAAAGTGCCGCTGGAGCCGTGCGACGTAAACAACTTGAGACGATCAGCAACAACAACAACAACAACAACAACAACAAAAACAACAACAACAACAACAACAACAACAACAACAACAACAACAACAACAACAACAACAACAACAACAACTACAACTACAACAACAACAACAACTACTACAACAACAACTACAACAGCAGCAACAACAGCTCCCTAAACGGTAGCTTCAACACTTCTTTAGCCGCTTTTAATTCATTTATTTCTTATTTTTTTTCTTTTTGGCTTAATCATAAGCTGAATTTTGAAGCAAAAGTCTATAATAGCTTCTTGCTTAGGGCTCATAAACGGATTTACGGCTTTACACACGCATTTTGATTCAATTTCTGGGCATTAAGCACATAATTTTCGCAATTCTTCTTTGTGCCGCATTCGTAAACGTTGTGCGCTTGGTTGAAGTTTTTCACATTCCCTTTTTATTAATCTAAGGTGTAAAGTGTAAGGTTTTACAGTCACTTTTGATGTGAATTGATTAAATATTCTTAGAGTTCTGGCTATGTTTTTCAATTCTCTCTTGCATTGTCATTCGTAAACGTTTTACTTGTTGAAGCATGAGTCATTCTTATAACCTCTTGTTATTCACATTGTTAATCAATTTGTCAATTTTTCAATTACTTTTGATGCGTTGTTTTATATTTTTTAGAGTTCGGACTCAGTTTTTGAATTCTCTCATGCACGGTCATTCGTAAATGTTTTACTTGCTGTTGAGGCAGTGTTAAAGATGTTTTGCTGCGCATTAGATGGAAATATTGTGCAATCAATTTAAACTACATATGATGTAAGAAAAAATATGCTAACTATAGCTTTATAGCATCCGAGCATATTCACGAACTGATATATGCTTAATGAAGAGCGATATGTTATTTTTCGCTCTGTTCATCATTTCATATTCAAATTCAATTATTTAAGCAAAAATCTTCAATTACTAAATATACGTATTGGTCATAATCTTCAATTCAAAAGCTCGTTAACAAATTGTTTTACAATTTCTCGTATACCCCAGTCGAAAGAATTTTGCGCAATAATGTTCGAGCGAATTGCATGGGCGGCAGGCTCTCAAGCTTAGGATTTTCCAAAAGCAGCGAAAAACGAAACCAGAAATAGAACTTTGCCCCAAAAGATGCCGCCCCGTTTCCTCAGGCCGCGCGCGAACAATGGAATAGTTAAGAATAATGCGCGCATATCCGCAATTATTAATATAATGACAGCAGGTTTTGTTGTTGTTGTTGTTGTTGTTATTAAAAATAGCTGTCGATAAACGAAACGCAACTTCATTAATTTATAATAATTAATGATGATGATCAACTAATCAAATCGAAGCGTGAAAAGTGAAGTTCGCCTCAGCTCGCGCTCTGCTCCAACAATAAATTATTAACATCATTCATATTATTATCCATATCATCCTCATCATCAGCAGCAGCAGCAGCATTATGCTCATCATTATGATCATTGCCGTCATCATTATTATCGACATTAGGGTGAATGTCTGCGGCGCCCCCAGTTAATCTAGGGAACGCGTGCCGAGCTTTTGTTCGCCGTTTTCTTCTTTCTTACCTCAAATAACTCGCATTATCAATCTTTATTTCTGTCCAACAGATCATTAAAATGTTATTGCTTATTTGAATGCCATGTATTTGATCATGTCCGTCTGTTCATCTTCGTAACAACAAAAGTTAGGAACTGGAAATTTGAAATATATATTCTGTTTTATGAAATGCAACAAGGTCGGGAGTGCTCGATTATGAGATACCCTAAACGTATTTCTACCAACATCAAATACAGCTCACGCAAGGGAGGAAAATCGATGGCGATAGCTATAAAATGAAAGATTCTTGATCTGTTTATGCTCTTCTAGAAGCTATATGTCAAGTGTGGTAGCTCCTAGGCCTTACAACCTAAAAGATTTGCTCCATTAACAGAATTTCGACATTGATTTTTATCGATTGCTTAAAAACGGGACATGTTATCGATTATCGATAACAAACTCTCAATGCGCGGGCACTAGGAGGAGCTACATTCCGAATTTCAAGACTCTAGTTAGCTATACGGACAGACAGACAGACAGACAGACGGACAGATGGACAGACAGACAGACGGACATATGGATAGACGTACGGACAGATAGACGGACAGACGAACATACAGACGGATAGACAGACAGATATGGCCAGATCGACTCGATTAGAGATGAGACTCCGGAGTTGCTTCTTCTGTTTGTTACATACATTTGCAGCTTACGCTTATTACCCATCCTTAATGGGTTCAGGGTATTAAAAAGTGCTTTCCGTCTTACTTCGACATCTCACTCCATTTCCATAATAACGATAAATATCGATATTGTGAAACTCGAAAGTCTTTAACATAACTCGAGAATTATTCAAGCTATGTGTTTTACGTTTTGAATAAAGGTTCGAGATGTGATCTATGTCTTCATATTCCATACGGACTGGACTCGAATGGAGGCTATCTCAATGTAACTTGGTAAAGCTGCTTCTTTTAGCCCAAAGTGCTTCTGAACCCATTAAAAATGGGTATAAGGGTATATTGTATTTGTGCAAAATCCAAATGTATGTAACAGGCAGAAGGAAGCATCTCCGACCCCATAAAGTATATATATTCTTGATCAGCATCAATAGCCGAGTCGATCTAGCCATGTCCGTCTGTCTGTCCGTCCGTCCGCCCATCCGTCCGTCCGTCCGTATGTATGAGCGCAAGGATCTCAGAACCTATAACTGCTAGAGACTTGAAATAGATGTAGATGCTCCTAGTTCTCGCGCAGATCGAGTTTGTTTCCGATAATCGATAACTTACTCCGTTTCCAAGCAATCGATAAGAATCGATATCGATATCCTGTTTTGTGGGCAATTTTGGTAAATAATAAGAGCTAGAGTCACCAAACTTGACATATAGCTTCTAAAATAGAATATATTTATGCATTTGATGTTGGAAGAAGAAGGTTCAGGGTATCCCCTAGTCGGGAGCTCCCGACTAGAACCTCTTACTTGTTTTTTTTTGGTCTAGATAAGGAATATTCTACTTTTTGGTTAGCTTACCCCATTTCATCTTAAACTGACAAGAAACTCTATTTGAAAAGTTATTTCCTTGCATTTTGGTATATGCACATTTTTGCTTGTCATATTTATGCCCTTGAAATTGCATAAAGATCGGACCTTAAGCACCGAAGTTAATCAAGAATGCATTATCATCTATATCTTATATCTATTGTTTATTTATCTTTTACCATCTCTGACAATGGCTATTTTTTTTTGCGTTTGACTGTGGCACAAAGTAAAGAAGATGAAGAAGTAGAAGTGAACTATTCACCGACACGCCCCGCACTGGACCTGTTTTGCCCTGCTGTTGCATTTGAACTTCGCGCTTCGGTGGCGCCTCAAAATGCATGCTGCACCGTTAGCCTGGAAGCGAGAGCCGCTTCTCCCTCTTGCCCTAATGGCGCATCATTAAGTTTCATTACGAGCTAACCGACGCCGACGCCGTGTCGAGGGGGTCGCGACCTGCCTTTGCGATACTTTTATAATTTATGCGGCAGAAGTTTATCTTTTCGTGTTTATTTTTGCATTTTTTTTGTAAGCGGATGTAATGCCAGCCGCAAATGAACTTGTAATTTACAATGAATTTGACACTGACAGCTGGCAGCTGGCAGCTGGCAGCTGCTAAACGGTACTCAGTATGCTTCGTGCACACACTTTTGGCATTGACTGTAACAAAATAAGAAAAACTGAAGCAAATTGTAGGAAAAGTTGTGCAACTTTTGCCAAAAGCCGCTTAAATCCAGTTGTGCAACATTTCGGATTATAACTTCTATTAATTACTCAAATGGGGGCTTTTCAGGATTTATTCTATTTTATTTTCTAGCATTTTTCCTTCATACTCACATACACAATATTTAACTTATATCCGCAGATAAATGAAAATATGTAAATTTAATTTAATTTTTAATTGAAAATATTCATAAATGTGGCAAATCAAACCAAGTCGAAGACAACTTTTTATG